CTAGAGGCATCTTTGACAACCGGGGCTAGCGATCTAGACGACTAAACCACCAAGCCTGTATGCTACCTACCGGCCTGACATCCTCTATAAGGTATTTAGCTAGTTCATCCTTATTGTTGGGGTCCTCAGGCGTGTCCTAGTAGTCGTGAGCCATAGGAAAAGTCCCCGGGCCTCCTCATCCGGTTATATCGGCGCCGGGATGACGACTTGGGTATATACATCCTGATATAGATTACGGCATGCCCTGTATACCTCCCTGACCCGGTCTTCTCCTAAGAACCTATCCACCAACTTTCTTTTATACCCGGGGTGTAATATCATCGCTGCCCAGTAAGCTAGTGATACGGAATGCGTGCAGTGTAAGAAAGAAACCTGTAAGGAAACCACCCTCGTAGCCACCATGGTCACCGCCACCAGGGCCACTGTAAGGAAACCACCCTCGTAACCACCATGGCCACCGCCACCAGGGCCACCCTCGCCACCATCGCCACTATCGCCACCGCTAACAGGGCCAAGCACTATCGCCACTACCACCCTGGCCACGCAAGGATGACTCGTAACCCCTTTCACGTGTATATAGACCATGGCCTTCGCACACCTCTTTAGCTCAGGCCAGGTTGAAGTCTCTTGCCAATACCAGTCATTGCTCTCTTACTTCAGTACTTTCATTGTGACCACCTTGATCAGGCGTACCTGCCTTCCCTTACACACGGCACTCTTGGTTGTAATTGTGTGATTGTATTGCTTCTCCGTGGCTCTCTGGCGAAGCCAGAGAGCATACTATTATAATTGTGAATAGTGGCGAATATGTTACGATCCTGGCCCAGAAGTGCAGATGGCGCCGCGGGCCGTTGCAGGATTGGCTGGTGCAACCAGGAGGGGTGGACCCTCCGCCGAGGTTGGTGCAGCTAATCAGGAGGTGCTCTGTGCGATTAGCTGCCAAGACCAACGGAGCGGACGGAGCGGTCGCTCTGTGGGGCTCCGGTGCTCTGTGGACAGAGCACCCTGGACCCGCAGAGCGTGTAGATGAAGGACCCTGATTGGTTGCTCATAGTTCTATATAGGAGCTAGCAGTACGCTCTCTGGGAGAACGGTTCTGCAGCTATCAATGCATATGGTTAAGCATACATTGGTTGTGTGTTGAAAGTCTACCTTTCGCAATCTGTGCACGATACTCCTTACCTTCTAGCACCTCCTCCACGTCGTCCCAAGACTCACAATCCTAGGCCGGGCCTAGCTCCGTGGACTCTGTTGTCCAGATTGTAACAAAATAGTGTGGCAAATCTAGCCCACCAGCTGAACTGACTACGTCAGTTCAGCTCGAATGCACATACCAGAGCTCAGCTGAGCTGAGCTCTATTCAGCTCTGTTATCTACACCTCCATGGTGTTCTGGCCTCTGGCCAGAACCCCTTTCTTTCTGACAGTGGAGAATATCCGTCAGGAGACAATCAACAAATGGGTGGATTCTATGGTAGTTCGGATGGAGCAAGTGATGGCAGGGAACGGTCAGATGACCGGCTGGTAGTACAAAAAGATACCTCTGTTTTACCTACAATTACCATAGTAGCCTATGTACTAGGCAGGTAATGTAACCCTTTTTTTTGTCAACCGCTTGGGCCTGTGGGTCAGAAGGTACAAACAACTCAGCAGCCTAGTCTGCGTTCTCAATTGCGCAGAAATGAGGTCTTTCCGCCTGGCCCTTTCGCGGGCTCTGTGTCGCGCTCGACCGCTTGCCGCGGGTGTGGCCTGATGGACCTGCAGTAGGGCGTCGCTGACAGCCCAGCGACACCGGTACCGAGAGACACGCCATCCTATTGTGAGCATGCAACCCCGCTTTTCTGAAAGACATTAGGTGGTGTGCTGCCTAGAAGGTGCGGTTGGCGAAACATGGTGATTGTGGAAGACGACTGGCCAGCAATCGACTAATGGATGGAACGCTGACGGTACGCCCGGCCAATTATCTTCCTTGCCCAGCCTGACACACCCCTAATTAAAATTCCTTGCTCATTGATAGGCTAGTAGTTTTCTCAGTGACACTGTCTTGCATCGCAAGGCTCTTGATGAGAAATGTTGTGTTACTCTGTTTTGGTAATGAGTTCTTCCCAGAGATCCAATTGGCCAGCTGCATTCTTATCTGTTGCGTTAATGTTACCCCAAATGCAGAGATGATTTAGGCGGAGATTTTACGTAAAATTGCCACTGTAGAGGAAGAGCAGTTATCTGCATATCCCATACTATTAATGAGACCCTTTCCTGTACTTAGGTTGCTGGTATATCCCTTATCTTCTCCCCCTCCCCCGGGACGCGTTAATACAGCCGTGATATCCTCAGTGAACCCTTCTCCTTTACACTCTCATCTCCAGCTCCTAGGCTCTTCTAACGAACTCAAGATTCCTGGTTTATTTTGTTATCCTGTTCTCACCGTTGCCAAATTATGGACACCGACACTCCACTCTACGAAATCCCACGCTTGGTAGCGTCGGGCCGTCTCAAGCACTTTTTTGAGACCGTCAATTTTGACGCCACAGATCCAAACTGCGGAGCACCCCTAGCAGACATTAAGAAAGCAGATGACTCGATCACATCCGGGTGAGTTTGCTGTCAACTCAAAAAACGATTAGATTGTTAATTTAGGTACTAATTGACACTATAAGCACCCTGATCTTCCAACTCATCCAAGCCAATAAAGATCTCTTTGACAAATTCCTCGATAATCACTTCTGTAAGGGAATGGCGTTAGGCTTTTTACCTCCGTCCGCATATGACGAGTTCGCTAAGGCAAGCATCCCTTCACATGTTTTCCCAGGAACTTAAATTCAGAAAATTGACTAGATTTCTTTTTAGCAAGACTACCTCTACCTCCTGGACAATGTCAGATTCAAAGCCCTGCGCTTTGCCAAGCTCGGCTCGAGGACTGCGTTCAGCGACCTGCGAGCCCAAAGTCAGAAGATATCCAGCGCAGTCGACTACGCCGAGGAATGGAAGAAGATATGCGTAAACGACCTTGGTATTTCCGCCACGGCCATAGAGGACATCGAGCCCAGTGCGGCCGAGATCGGCTATTCAAGCTTTCTGGAAAGCCAGACAATGATCGATGACTGGTTCAGCCTCTACATAATCACCATTCCATGCGTCTATGTGAGGAATCCTTGCTCTTTCTGATGACGTACATTCCATTGTGTTAGGGAAGACCTCTGCAGTTGATTTTTGCCCACTAACTTCTGGGACTCCCAGGGCTGGAACCGGATTGCCGAGAGGCTCGACAAGGATCCACGAACTGACAAAAGTGCGAGGTTACGCTCTAGTCTGAATTTGTTAAAATGGTTTCATCTGACGCTCATATTTGAATTGACAGGTACTCGCTTTTATAAGACATGGATTGAACCGAACTTGGATGACCAGTATGGGAAAAAGCTCTCCCGTAGGTCTCAACCAGAACAGTATTATCAATTGTGGGTGGTTAGCTAACTAATGGTTCAGAATTCATCGAGGCGAATCGAGGAGTCTATACATCCTCTGCCAATAAGAGCGTGTGGAATCACCTATTCCGGACCGCTCTCAAGTTTGAGATTGGCCTCTTTGACAGCGTGCTGGTACAAATCCCCGTCGGTGAAATCAATACCGCCGCCACCCATGGCAACTGCGTTTTTTCTGACGCTGAAATGCCTGTGGAGATCTACCACCTTCCAGGCCGTGCCGTTGTGTTTCGTAAGCATGATGTGCAGGGCAAAATTCACTTCCCACTTGGCTCGGTGCCAAACTTGAGCGCTGCGCTTGCGATCCACAATCCGGAATCTAAGCCTCGTGTGTGGCTAGAGGTGGATTGTAGCCAGGTTATACCCCCTAAGAAGCCAGCCTGGGAAGATAGCCAGCAGGACATACCTACCAGAATTGTCAAAGCTGAGATATTTATCGGGTGCAATTGTGTGGCGTCCAAGGAGTTCTACCCTCCAAAGACACAAACATTCAGAGAGATGGTGGAGTCGCCGCAGCTACCTGGATTGGAGATGATGAAGGGTTCGTATCTGCCTCAGCTAGAGACGATGAGGGGACTACAGGGCCTCGGGGTGACTCTCACTCTCCAGTTTGAGCGGGCACCAATGCGGTTCTGTTCAGTAGCCGTGTCAGTTGAGAATGCTGCTTCCCCTTCACGAAGCCAGGTTTAGGTTTGATGAAATTGCCAAGGGCGTTCAACACCTTGCCATGGAGATTCGGATATATTGCAACGGGGGCCTTGGAGCTGGGCACCCACTTGAATTTGTTTGGCCTTGACTTTGATCTGCGGTTGTTCATGATGCTGAAACGTTCATTCGGAGCTGGCAGACAGATTGATGAGAGAAGAAGGCGGGCCGGCTTCGTCAATATGTCAAGTTATTTATCGGCAATCCACTGGTTTGCTGCTCTTCCTATCATTGGCCGATCTCTAGCAGAAGGAAATGATGTATCGCGTTAATGTCGGTCTGTATCCTGCATACTTCTATCTGCTACCTCTTAGACAATGGTATAGCTATATTAGCGATCCTAACCGTAATTCCCCTTCGGATTGTAGTAGAATCCATTTAAAATGGGTGGGCAAGCTCGACCCACAATTACAGACATGGGGTAGAATCCATTTCAATCTTCGCGAGTAGAATCCATTTAGGTTTTCGGGGTCAAAACCGATGCAAATTGCATGCATAGAAAGCGCTCAATATGGAATATCCTAGTACTAAATTCTAGAATTGTGCGATCATAATATCGTGATGTAGCAAGGGGTGTTGGTTTGGCAATTGAGGACGATGGGGTTGGCTGTGCGTGGGGCTGGCCAATCCGGTCGGCAGAAGGCGTAAGGGTTTGGACGACGACTCGTAGTACGGCTGCTCAAGGTGAGCGTGCCTTGGATCTTTGAGAGGAAAAAGCAAATATCAAACGGGGGTCTTTTCGCGTCGCGCGTCAGCGGCTCTGAATAGCTTACGCGTTAATATACTTGATAAATTGAAAGATAAAAACAGTACCGTTATGGATCCGTGCAAAGTTTTGCAGCCACACGGCGTTCTAATATGTAAATCTTGCCGGTACGCTTGTCTTATACAAGAAGTCACTAACCACCTACGTACGAAGCATCGGCACCTCAGCGCCCAACAGAGAGCAACTATCCAAAAGGCTGTCGGACGACTCCCCAGCTTATTCCACAACCAGGACTCACTCAACTTCTTTACTTTACCGGCATGTCCCGTTCCAGCCATTCTAGACCTGGCGGGACCTCACTTTGACGGGCTGAAGTGCGATCGGTGCCAGTATATTGCGCGGCAAGACCGTCTTACACAAGAGCATTGTCGGATAGCACACGACTGGGTTAATCCCCGTAAGCCAGGCCGCACCACGAGGGAGATACCAGCATTCAGCAATCCGTGGCGCTCTGGCGTGCCGTGCCAGCGCTTCTTCAGTTCCCGGCGGGCCAGCGGCTGGTTTGAAGTCATCATTCCAGACGCATCTCTCCCCGGCAGCCCCGGCACCTGATTTTCTCCACAGTACAACGACGCAGACAGGTACGTGGCTAATCCATCAGCTACCTGCAAACTTGGTATTTCCCATCGCCAAGTACAGTTTGCCTTCGTGTCCTTTTTCTCAATCGCCCTCAAAGGGCATTTTTCACATTGTCATTCATCTTGAGGAGGGAGGTGGCTAAGCCCACCAGCAAAACAGATACCAATCACGATGCGTTGACACGTGCAGTTGGCGCCAGCCGTCAGGCGCAAACGCCACCAAAATGCCTGACATGCGGGGTTAGGGATTCTGACAGGCATTGACAGGGAAACGCGTCGAGCCCAACGTCGGCCACAACAATCACATCACGGGCCAAAGTACTATCGGGACCACTGTGATGTATACTGCGCGCCTTGGCTGCCAATGGTAGGTGGTATTTCTTGCCTTTGGGATGAATAAAGCTGAGCTACTGATGCGTTGTACCTATAGATCCACGACCTTGAAGCCTTCCGTTTGCGTATCCTTTGAGCACCGTACAAATACATGCTGCGAGCTGAAACCGATAACCTTGCAAGATGCGGCTCCTAGAAAGAGGCGATACCGGCGAGCTCCGCTTAACGAACCCGATTCCGAATGACGCGATCCCCGAGATCCCCCGTTACGCGATCCTCTCACACACATGGGGCGACGAGGAGGTCTCCTTCGAAGACATGGCGGACGGTACAGCCAAGAAAAAAGCAGGCTATGCTAAGATTGAAGGGTGATCGTCACCTAGATCACGGAATGCGGTAGGCTATTCGTGAAAAGGTAGGTAAATTGATGATCAAGGGAGGAAGCTCGGGAGCACTGCCCTGCCGAGGACCTTAATGTGGTCCTTTGGTGGGGCAGACGCGGTCTAACCGCGTCAGGCTAAGCCCCGCTTCCCTATGTACCTATGTACTTAAATTACACGTGCTGGTCATATGACCCTGTCTTGGCGCTCCCTCGCTCAATCAGGCATCACGAGTCCCCTCGTTGGCCAAGCCGGCGGAGGCCCGGGAATAGGGCGGGAATTCCATAGGTAGCTATGGGGACTGTGGCGGCGGCGTAGAACACCCTAGAGGCCCCTACGGGGAGGCCCCGGGCGATCTGGTTCGTCCGTGCAGCCAGTCCGGCGATGCGGCCGGAGCCCGTGGAACGGGCCCTGACGTGGTTTGCGAAGGAGAGCTTTCGGTCCAGGTGGATCCCGAGCCATTTGATGGATTTGGAGGGCCGTACCGGTCCTGCCGCCGTGGCGATTACGACTCGCTCCGGGAGGCGTGCCTGGCTGCCCCGTCCTTGCGGGGGGATGTACAGGAGCTCCGTCTTCTTCGGGTCGACCTTAAGGCCGATCGCTTCCGCTCCCCGTGAGAGTTCGGCCGCTCGGTGTGATGCGAGTAGCACCAGTTGGGTGAAGTCGTGGCTCTGTGTGTGCTGAGCGAAATCGTCAAGGTATTGGAAGTCCTCCCCTTGGCTCGTCGGTCGTATCAGGATCGCAGCGAACAGGACAAAGAGGATGGGGGACCAGGGTGACCCCTGCGGGAGTCCGTCGTTTGAGTGGAATGAGCCGTTGGCGCATCGGAATGTGTAGCGCCTTTCCCGGCAGAAGGAGTCCCATGGAAGGAACCAATTAGGAGTGTCCCTGGGTCCCGAGGTTCGGAACCACTTAAGGTCGGGGACGCGGGACAGTGTCCCGCGCGCCCGGCGTCCCGAGACCGCAAGGTCTCGGGACCACGGGCCAGTGGGACCATTGTTATTGGTTACACAGTTAGATATATACGATGACCGTACCCACGGTCTTAGATAGTTCTTGCTTGGTTCTTCAAGCAAGAAATACACATTCACTGCACTCATACACTTTGAGTGGCATTCCAATTTGACTGTATTACCCGTGGGATAGGAGCTTGCCCTTTGTTCTATCTTCATAATTAACAACCCCAGCAGCGTTGGCTGCCTGTGTTCAGGGGCTGCAGGGGGCTGTAGGGGGCTGTAGGAGAGTGATCTGGTGGGTGGCGGGTGGTCCGTGCGGCCTGTGGAAAATATTTCCCGGAGCGGCTCCGGTAGTCTACCCTCTGTGTGACCCCTTCCTGCGCCGCCGCTACGGGGCGCGCGCGCGCGGCAGTGGTGCCGTTGTCTGGGTTTTTTCCCGGGCTCTTCAGCGCTGTTGCGCGCGTCAATTTTGGTGAGGTAGCGGCCGAGATACAAGACAGGGCAGTTCTTTTTTTTTGTGGTTGAATACGTTGCCATGGGACATTGTTGTGCTAGATGCTGAGCGTCGATTGTACTTTCCCAGATAGTCATCCCCGCTTTTACAGCCTACTGAGCCTCTGCTACATTCTCTTCTGCCTACCATGTGGAGATAGGGTAGTCGTTTGTGGGGCGTACTGGGACATGGATTGCAGAAACTGCCAGCCGCTGCCTGCTGAAAGCTCTTCACAAAGCTAAATTGTGGGCGTTTTTGCACTCCAAGCGTTGCCCAAAACGGAGGACGCAACAGCGCTAATCCACCGTACTAGCAACCAAAATCTCTGCGAGTAGCGATCTGTAGCAGTTCGGCACAAGTTACAGGACTAACTTTAGATTGGCGAGCCTTTTTTTTTTTCTTCATTACACGCATGCAGCCTCTAGGGCTATGGCGTGGCCAGTCAAAGACTGGCGGTCTATCTACCTAGTATACTAGTAGGAAATAGAGAAAGCAAGAGCTAAGTACATCGTTAGGCGCGTGGCCTTATTAACGTAATAGTTTCATAGTAATAATGGGGTTCCTTTGGCCATATTAGGGTAGAAATGCACCGTCTGATCAGGTCGTTTCTACGGCTTGGAGTGCGGCGAAACCTGCCTCTTCTGGCACAGGCCCCTAGAGCGACCACGAATATTTTCGTAGCCCGACTTCACCGCAGTTCCTTCCTGGTCGAGAAGTCGGATGCAAATAATCCAGCGCATCGGCGTCAGTATTGAAGACCTAAACCGGGCGCGACGGCGTGGTGCGGTGCATCGAAGCTCCTGCGCTCGCCTTCCAGAGCCACGCCTTCTCCGGGATGCACCTAGAACTAATCCAAGTTGGTCAAGTGCACCCCGACGGAATAGTACCACTTCCACATAGACTGGTAAACCACGACGAGCCGTGGGACAGCGGACATGGAGTGTCTCAGACCGTCGCCGGTCTGGATTGCCCACAAGGTTAAATAAGACGTCACGTTGGCGCTGCAGCTTTCGTATCACCCGGTCGCTTCATTGTGCGCTGCTGAGCCGGGGAAGGGGAGAACTGCGGATGGTGGCGGCAGCTATCATGGAGACGAACAGCGACGGCCTGGTCCTTCGCCCGTCAGTCCGAGTATCTCCCGCTCAACGACAGCATTCGGCCTCTTCATTGTTGTAGCCAAATGTCTAGGTGCGCCGCGTGCGTCGCTAGCGCACCGCCTGGGGGTGTACTTGCCGCGCTGTGCCGCGTACAGGACCGTCTACGCCCTGGGCGGCGACGAATTCGAGGAACCCGTGCCATGAGGCCGTGCCATGAGGCCGTGCCTAGCATCAAGTGTGCGCATGAGGTGCATCAGGGTCGAGGTCTGTTGGCGCAGGAGGCCGGGAAGAACGGAGGAAGACGACGTGGAGAAGGAGGCCGACGAGATGATGGATTTGAGCGAGGTGATGTGGGAGACGAGTACGCGGCGTGCGTGGGATCGAGCGGCCGCACAAAGGACGGGTTAGTGGTTAAGTGGGCGATGCGGGCGAGTTGGACGGCGGAGGTGCACGTTGTTGGGCCAGGGCTGGTGATGCGAGCTATGGCGGTACGAAACTGGGCGCGAAGGGCGAAATTGGTGTCTAATGAAAGCTAGGGAAAAATCCATTCTGCGCAGAGTGGAAGTGGGGTTACAGGCAGCGCGGGGTAATTTAACGATTTTGCGAGAGAACTGGAGTCTGCCGTAGAGAAGGCTTCAAGGTGTATCACTAAGCCTACCCGTCGCGGTCGCTAATGTTGTGGAGGACTCGATCTAACGCTCGTGCTATATAAAGGCATAAGCGCTTGGGGGTGACTGTATGTTCGTCCTCTTCCTGCTCTTCCTTATGAGCTCGAAGGCTAGTCTGCTGAGTTGGAATCCATCGAATCTTTGTCGAGATTAGTCGATTTGCTTGCTTGCTGAGTTTGGTGATTTGTATGTTGGTCCCCGTGGTGGCGCTCTAGTCTGCTGCAAGCTGCTGGGCCTTGGCCGGTTCCTGGATCAAGGAGGTGTGTTGGTCTGCTAACTTGTCGTAGGTTTCCTTGGTTTGTTGTAGGGGAACTGCGTGGCCCGAGTCGTTTGTTGCGATGTAGTGGGATGGAGCGGTCTCGGCAGTTGTAGAAGCCATTGTATCCTGGGCGCCGAGGGGGCGCTATCGATTACGGCTTAAATCTCGGCGGGGAGGAAGGGCTAGTGGTTTAGGTAGGAGAGTTGTCGCTAAGTTGGCTTCAGATGTCTCGCCTCACTCTTGCATATTTCAGCCGGTTAATCGTCATTGCCACTAACCTGAGTCTTTCAGCCAAGCGGTAAATACTGCCTTCTCAACGAGCATGGTCACCGTCACGGTGCCGCTGCACGGCGGCACGATTACACTCAAAGAGAGGCGGCAGGGCGCGACGGATGCGTAGCTGAACGCGGCGAAAGCTGGGCAAGGTAATCAAGGGGTTGCTCAGCGTCCCATTCGATCTGATGTGACTTCGTCTAGAACCCGTGTTCTGGACGGCCGGCGGGGGCTGGCTTGGGTAGGCCTGTAGCCGCGGTGAGATCGGTGGACAGATCACAACAATGAGTCTAGCTTCTCAACCGCTACGCTAGGCGCCCAATTCCCCCCTACCTCGGAGCTCGACGTTATGCGGGCAGCCAACCCAATCCTGAAGTTCTTGGAAGCACACACCCTTACGATCCAGGCCAGACCATCCTCCTCAGAAGTGCCTGTCTCTGACGGCACTTGAAGGGTCAGAGCTGCGATGCATACCTCGAAGGAAGAGTATGAACATACTGAAAGGTAAGCGGATTTGAGCCAATGCCAAAAATTTTAATCCCGGCTCTAGCCGTCCCCGCTCGCCTGTGAAGTCGATCTCAAGGTTGAGAATCTCAGGCTAGTCGTGACATAATTATCTGAACGTGGTCTTGGCAAAGTCGAGGGCTTGCGACATTGTTAGGCGCAAAGATGCTGAGCTCTAGAGACTCGTTCTGCCAGCAAAAATGTCACTCCGTTGCCGAGCAGTGTGATCCGTCGATACGGCGGGAATAAGAAGTGTGACCCAAGTTGTTCGTGGGTTCTGAGTCGGTGGTTGGTTGTTTGCGAGAAGTTTGGTAGGGAGAGAGAGGCTCAGAGGTTCTCCCATTGAGTGAATGTAGGGCCTGTAGTGTGGGGTGCGCAGCTTGAAAAGGCTCGGGCTGCGGGGCATGCGAACCGGGCCGTTCCTGGGTATCGGTTCCAAGCATTTGGGGTGGGAGGTTACACTTCGGATAGCGAGACGTCTGCCTTGGCAGCGTGAGGCCGGGGAAGGATCGAGTACAACAGTGAACAGTAGCAGCCACTCAATACCAACGTTCAACTCTACACATAACTTTCCGGATCGCAATTGCAATGCCCGCAGCGCCTGCGATTGCTGAGTCTGCGCCGTTTACGGCGTCCTCGTTATTTTGTTGAATTGAACGTGTCGCCTGCGCTAGATACTGTTAGTCGCGATGGTGGTTAGGAATTATTTGCCAAAGGCCTGTTGGAGGCGCGACTGGCGTGCTGTCGATTGTTAAGCGTCCGACTTCTCGGCCAGGGACTGCGGTGAAGTCGAGCCACGGAAATATTTGAGGTCATTCTAGGACTCATGCCAGAAGAGCCAGGCTTGCCTGAGAACCCCGCTCCCGACATTCTAGAGACGAGATGAAGCGCAAGAGGATGATTAGAAGGTCGAATTGCCGCCCTTGTAACCAACAGCACTCCAATGTTCTCTTGGGAGCTGGATAAAAACTTGAGGCAGCCAAATAATGGTATCTTTTGGTCTTCCCAAGTTCAACTATCTGCTTCTGCGCCAAATTCAGGTACTTTCTGTGCTCGATCCGAATGTGTTTCGGGTCGGGAGGCATTGACACCATCCACGACGACCCAGAGCAAAATAGACTCAGCGTGCACGAGCTCGAAGACTTGGTTCAGCCCTCGAGCGAGCCGACATGCCCTGGCCAACCCACAACTTTCACCTCAACAATCATCCTCCTCCGGCTGTGACGGCGGTCAACAGCATCTAGGAAGAAGAGTCGCGAGAATGGCTATACCATTGTCTTAGGATTCTAAAGTAAAGAAAGAAAGAAGGAAAGTCTACAAAGGTACGATCGAGGGTGCGGGGGTATAGTGGGGTGCCGAGAGCGCACGGGCCATTATGGTTTGCCCTGCCAAGGCTCGTGACACTGGACAAAGAACATGCCCGTTTGCCCAGAAAGCTAGGCGACTCGACTCTGTATGTCCTCAGAGAGCTCAGCGGCCACAACGTGGTCCTTGCTAGCCTTCCCGGCAGCCAGGGGAAGGGCGCGGCAGCGGCGGTGGCAAAGGATATGGTGCGTACGTTTCCGTCGATCGAGCTTCGGTTAATGGTCGGTATCGGAGGAGGCGTGCCAAGCGGAAAGAATGACATTCGCTTGGGCGACGTTGTGGTGAGTGTGCCCGACGGCGAGCATGGTGGCGTGGTTCAGTACGATTGGGCAAGAACACGGACGACGGCTTTGTCATGAAAGGATTCCTTTGGCCGCCACCCGAGATTTTGAGGAGTGCTGTGGGTATTATGCGGTCCGACTACAGGGTTTCGCATAACAAGATCCCTGAGTTCCTGTCGGCCATGTTTCAGAAAAGCGACGACGTTCGCGTCTCGTACCAGCGGCCTGTAGAGCCGGATGAGCTCTTCCAGTTAGAATATCGTCATGTCCCCAACCAAGCCACCTGTCAGCTCTGTGACAAGACAAAACGGGTCCAGCGTCCGCTGCGTGAACCGACCCCCAAGATTCATTATGGGCTTATTGCGTATGGAGACCAAGTCATGCGGAGCGCCCCGAACGCGACCGAAATGGATGGGAGGGTGGTTGGCGATGTCCTGTGTTTCGAGATGGAGGCGGCGGGCATGGCGACCCAGTACTCGCGCATCGTCGTCCGGGGCGTCTCGAATTACGCAGACTCACACAAGAACGATGCCTGGTAGCATTATGCTGCGGCTGCGGCTGCGGGGTGCGCTAAGGGGCTCCTTTCGTATGTGGACCTGCCGCAGCCTTCCACGACGACAGCAGCCGTCGGTCAGCATGGATTCGACTCGTCTATGGGCAACCGTCCAGCTGCGCAACACATCTTCCGCGGCCAGGGCGTTCAAAACCCGGGGTCTGGCAATGTCTCCATAGGGAAGGACCTGAACATTGGCAGGATTGATTCATGGTGAAGGGACTCAGACTTTCGGCTATCTGGCATGCCGTTATCTACATCCTGTCGCGGGAATGGCTGGAAGTGATAACCAAGTACTCTCATTTCCAAGCCTGTCAAGGTAGGCTGCCACATCCCTGGTCGCAGCGCTACTGCCACGCAGACTGCGGCGTTCGCGCACGTTGACGAACTCTCCTGGGCGAAACTCGAACCCATCTAACAGATTCGTCAACAGCGCCTTGTTGGGTCGGCAATGTTTCCCTTTCGGCAAAGGGAGAAAGATTAGATAGCACGGGCCATAAACCCCGCCACAATTCCGCCGCGAATGAGGGAAATAACAAGGACCCATCCAGCGACACCTCCTTTGCCGTTCTGCCATGACATCAGGGCCGTGCGTTCTTGTGCAAGCAATCGGCAAGCCGAGAACAACCTCGCATCACGACTTCCGGTCACGTAGACGCCAGAACGCCGGTTGCGGAAGCGAATCGCGCGTGCGACACCACAGGCCAGCATTGGGACGACGTCGTCGGCACGGTTTTAGCTGGGAGGCGGACGCTTTCTGGGCTGTAACCACACACTTCACGTTATCTGGCCAGTCAATCGCTCACGATCTGTTACACCTTTTTCACGCCGCCGCGCCGCCGTGCTAAAGATGAGGCGATGCTTATTTGTTATGATAGTTGGAGCCCATCCCCTCCCCTTCTTTTCTTAACTACATGGATTGACAACCAGCACCTCTTCGTAGTACGAACGTTCACCTTGAGAGCGCGAAGACGACGGTTATCCCGGCATACCGCGACGGCCGACCCGACACGGTACGAGACTCAAAGCCACGACTAGCTCGGGTGGGCTGGCGATCACGGGCCTAATACAAGTGGATACTGCGACTGAAGAGCCGAAGGGGAACCGCTCGCGACGGCGATCTCGACGTCATCTGCGGCAAGCGCCAGGCGTGACTGTATCATCGGACCTGTTATCACCCACCCGGGAAGAATAGCCACACATCAAGTCATCCGCCAGCAACGGCTGGTAGGTCATGTCGTTCAACGACGACGCTAAACGTTAGAGGGGGACCACAATCACAGCCCAGTTCTCGTCCCAGCCAAATTTTGGTCAACCGCTGCCGGCCACACCGGTACGGCTTCGTTCTTATGCCACCTGCTTCTCGGTCTCGGCGGCTTTTACTAGACGATGCGACGGAACTTGTACGCCAGACGGTGGCGCTGGCGCAGCTTTTGATGTGCGATCGAGGTGCCCCCAAGGCCAGTTGAAAGTATCGAGGCTCTGGCGGCGCTCACCATACTGCGAAGCAGATTAGTTCTTGAGGGTCAAAGCCGCAAAGGCAAGCTACGGCCTACACAATAGTTAGCCGGCATGAGCCAGGCAGGCAAGAGCGAGGGCCTCGATATTAGCATCACCATGGACAACCAGCTCCTAGAGCAGCTCTTCATCTCCGGAGTGCGCCCAGGCCGCCGACTTCGCAAGCAAACTCAGCCCGCCCCAGATCGGCTCCAAAAAGACAAGCGGCGGCAGCAGCAACAATGAACTCTTGGTCACGCCGTGGCATCCTCACCAGAGTTTGGTAAACGATTGATGATATCTCGTCCTCTGAGCGGTACGGCGTCATGAAACCCAGTCAAGCGCCATTGGGTGGGCCGAGACGTTGGCGATCGAAGCCGACGCCAAAGTCGACGAGAGCGACAAGCTCAAGGAGCTCGAGAAGAACTTTGACAAGTGCTAGGCGGCCGTCGTTAAACTTGTTAAACAATCACAGGAACCTAGACTGATAGTTCATTTTAGAGTTATATAATTATCCGTATTAGTTGTCCGTGATTGATCGTTAAATCCATTCCATTTGTCGTCGCCCGTCAAACCATTCCACTAGTTATCATCCTTCTTAACGTCGTTATCATCCGAGACATCTTGGTCCGACTGGATATCGACATCGCCATCTTCATCGCTAGATAACTCAACCCTAATGTCCCTCCACGGATGGCAGCTTCCCAGTACGAGAAACGCACTTAAATCTTCGCTTGATAATATCCTCCCAGGATATATCTGAGGATTCCTGAGTCTAGGGTTCCTGAGGCTCGGGATCCTCGTACCCATCCGCGGTGGGCCACCAAACCCATCTAGCCTCATACTGATCTTGATTTGTAGGATAGGCCGGCCAACCCTGTACACGCCACTCCGCCCAAGTCAACGAGCAAAAACCAGAAGCACTCGTCATGCAGCTAGTATAGATACCTCCATCACCAACGACCAAGTCCTTCTCGAACCACGGATCTTGCTCAAGCTTGGCTCTGTAGTCTTCATCCGTGCAGCTCGAGCTGACCCGAAGCCTCCATTCACTCCTACCTCTCCAATACCGTCATATGCCAAGACTAGGCGCTCGCCCTTCTGCGCATATACCGCGATCCAAATGCCGTCGGCACCTCGGTGGAAGATAGCAGCCTTCTCCGCGGTGGAAGGAATGGGATGTGAGGCAAGATCTAGGGTAATGGAGGGATAGCTGCTAGGTGGTTGAGGAGTTTGAGAAATAGGCACGCAATGGAACAGGATGAGCAGGGCGAGTGTGCTAGGATGCTCATATTTTGGGTTTAGTTGAGGGAAGGAGCTTGCTCGTGTGCTACGGTCTCGTGCCTGCCATAAAAAGTTGTCTAGATTGAAGGAAAGAGCTTGCTCCTGTAGTGAAGGACTCGTGCCTGCCATAGAAAAATGCAATGAAGTGTGAGGGTCAGGGTTAGAAGGACAGTGTCACGGCGCGCAACGGCCGTAGCACACTATAACCCACTACAGGTTGCAAGTCGTCGACTTGCAATTCTGGCATCCTTTTGGGGGTTCTAGCGAAGTGGTAGTGGGTGCTGTGAGCTGGCGCCGTCACAGACAGCCAGGCACCAGAGGGAAAGGTCGCAGGTATACTAATGCACAGCACGGCGTCTCCGGTCGTCTTGGTGCCGATCCAGGGCTAAGCAGCGGCAATCTCGTATCTGTATGAAGTTCTAGGGAACACAATTGACTTTAAGTCAGCTTGTGGCTACTAACAGCTCCTGAAAAATCATGTTATCGACTGTGCATTGGGTATTAGGAACGTAAGCGTCTCTTTGAGAACGAACTAACAAATAGCACTAACTCTTAGATGGAACCGCTAGCTAACAATCGACTCGTATCGCAACTACAGGTTTCTTATGGCAGCCTTGTAGTGGAGCGCATTCGTGCCCGGACAGCGTCAAAGGCGTGAACTACACCCTTACAGGTATGCCAACGGGGTGGTGTCTCGAACCAACGCGTGGTTTGGAGCTAATTGCGGTCGGTAACGATTGGGATGATGAGAAACAGATGGCTGTATATCTTGACGAATCACTGAGCAGAGCCGAAATTAAAGCCGACAAAGCAATCTAGTACCCGGAGTCCATAATGCCTTTACTCTCCTAGCTCGCTAATGAAGACAATCACTAAGACTCTGTCCGCTTAAACAGGCTTGAATAGACTTCTCATACCTAAGCACTCCTCTAGCCTTTCTGTCTCGCTAACTATTGTCGACTTCCTAATAGACCCGGACCTTCGCTCAACCAAAGCATCGCAGTGTATTAGATGAACAGTAACGCCACAGCCTCGACTGAAATTGTGCAGTTAGAACCACGTGAGCCATGCGCGCGGAGCTCAATTTGGTATACACGACCTTTCCTTTATGAATATTATCAAATCCCTAACTATTGTTAGTCCACTCATTACTCTGCTCATTACAGACATGACAGCTAACTCACCTTCAGTAAGGAGAAGAACTTGGCAGTTGTGTCTCGATCACCTGCCCCCCCCGCTCTTCCCGCTCGGATTCGGTTTTCCAGAAGCTCTTTGACGATGCAAACGTACTTTGAAGAGCTAGGTTGCATATCCTCGTTCGTGATTTCCGGGGTTTCATCTGAGCGACGACCACTTCAAGCCAACGACCAACTCCAGACCACTGAAGTATATGGCCACCCAGCGCAAACGTCTGTTCCCCTTGTACCCGAAAGACAAAGTGGATGGTGCCGGAGGGAAAAAATACTGTATGCCCAGGTGAAAGGACGAAGTATCTCCAATCTCCTCCTGTAAAGTTATGTGGATCGGACATCCACGCCTCTTCTTCCTGCTGTCTTGGTCGGGACATCCACCCGAAGCCCACACGCCCTTCCTGAACCGTAATCCAGGTCGAGTAACCGTGGCTATCCATATGCGGTGCCGTATTATGGCCCCTTCTGACAGGAGCGCCCAGTCTGTAACATTACGCCAAGTGTTCCAATCTTGGGCGGGCGCCGCTATCCTTTCGGCACTGTTGCCCATCAGAACTGCATCGCGTATTCGGAGGAGAAGCTGACAATTCTCTCCTTCCAAGAAAGATGGCAGGGCTGAAGGTATCGGGCTTTGAAGGTCGAGAAGATTCCAGGGGTTATTTGTCAACCGCTGCAGAAGGAACCGGTCTCGGACATCCAGAAGTGTTTTCCTTTCGCAAGATGCCTTATGTAGGGGGTGAGAGGGTATTTGAACAGACACGGTTCGATTAAGCCCGATATCTTCCATACGGTTGAAGAACTGTGAAACTGGGCGGTCCTTTCCCCTCCATTGAAATGGCTGTTGACTTTGCGTGAAGATCGGTATGTCCACTCGCCCCAACTCGGCCTGTTGGAATGCCCCCTCTCCGTTGAGAAAGTATGCTTCCCCACGTATTGGTGGTTTGCTCTTTTGGAGAATTTGGGCGACTAAATCGTTTGTTCTCCTACCCCATGAGTCGAGACCGTCCTCTGCGGATTGGAATTCTTCTAGCACTCGCTGGCGGTAGGCTTCGTCGCGAATTGGATCTTGTGTTGGGCAGCACCCTTGGTTCAAGGCAGTGGGTAGAGAGTTCTGAATCGGTGCCGGGTCATTAAGCCGAAGCCTTTTTAGGGGGGTATTGTCGAGGATGTCCGGAAGCGAAGTGCGGCGCCGTCGGAGATGGGACCCTT